AAATCAGCATAAGCGACATCAAAAAAGTTGAAGGAAACCATCCCTACCACATTTCATGTTACACAAGAAACGTGATCGTACTGGTATAACGGAACTCTTATGAAATCCGATTTACCGTAAATGGCCGGATAAAAGACCCAGATCTCTTACATTCCGCCGATTTTAAAACCTATAATGTATCCAGGTATAGTATATGGTTGAGAGCTTAAAGGAGAATTTTAAAGAGCAAGCGTAATTGTCATTTCTAACGGGCAGTTTAGTTATTTAAAAAAAAACTATATTTCATTAATGCAGAATTCGTAATTCACATTCGGGTAGTGCATAGTGGATTTGGGATCTTGTATCTGGCCATTTACGGTATGTAGTAACTTCGTAACATAACTCTAATAATATCCTTCTTTTTATAAATTCATATATAATTAAAACAACGTTTGTACAAATTTGGCATAAAAATTCAGCCAGTTCATCCAATCTATTGCATTTAATGCAGCTACATCATCCCAAAATCAATTATTTGAATTTAAAAATTAACACAAAGTGATATATGATAAAACAGAAGATGTATGTAAAAAATTTTTGATAGACCGATATTCAATGATTTCATATAAAAATTATAAATAGCTTGAAAAAAAATTTACTTGAATAATTATTACTTTTTTCGGATTCAAAGTTTCATTCCAAATAAAGTCTGATCAATGATTAACATTAAACTTTTTTGAGTTCATCAACTTTTTCTTGCGCAATACTTTTATTAGTAATAGATTCCTAATAGAAGAACTATAGGTCCCTATCCCTTAAACCGTTTAAAATTCAGTGCAAATTTGCACTGAAATTTTCCGGTAGTCACTTATATTGCAACTATACAAAAAATATTAATATAAATAATATAAAACATTATAAAAATGTATAAAAATGTAATTTTTTTGGTTTATTTATGTTCATGGTAACTAAAAAAGCAATCTGGGCGTTGCTTATTAATACATAAAGGAACGTTACACACTGTACACCACACATTACTTCGTGGTGAATTATTATCATGTTTTCCATGCTCGGTCATATATTGAAACCGACACCAAACACAAGACTCTCTATCTTCACGATATACTGCATAATGGCTTTGTGGATGTAATCGTTCAATGGGTAAATCAAAGTTTTTTGTTACATAAAATGGGCTTTTTTCTGAATTTTGATTTTTCAATTCTGATTGAATCATTGCAATTTTTTTTGTGTATGTAATTTTTGGTTCATTTCTAATGATTCTTCTACTAAACTCCACACCAAATTTATTCTCAAATCTTTATGTGTTATGACCAAGTTGAGTGCTTTTGAAATAAGGAAGGTATTAATAATACTAGTATCGAGAAGCCAAAAAAATAATGGCATCCAAGTGCGACGTACAGGTACTTGTGTACCATAATAACCCCTTAATTGGTCAGCACATCTATGCTGCCCATATGATAGTTGTAATCATCAATTACAGCAGGTATGGGGAGAATTTTTTTACTTGCATCACCAAACACACTACGTACTTTGTTAGCATTAGTACTAGTTGTTCATGGTCGTCGTCTTTCTCTTTCTATTCGATTTTCTTTACCTAAAACTTCATGTATGGTTGTTAACATAGTAACTAGACTATTATCCATCCAGAACACAGCCAATACTTCATCTACAATGGCTCTAGAAAGAGTATCCCATTCTATTTTTTGAGATTTTTTAATTTTTAAAAAAGCAGGAAATTTTGAGGCATTACTTCTTACTGTTCCACAGCCACCATACCTATTCTTTTGCATATAACTAAACAAATTTACACTTGTAAAAAAATTATTCATATAGATATCGAATGCTTTTCCTTTTGGAAGTTGAGATATTAGATGATACACATGCTAGCTGATCTTGTTAATATTCGGAATTGAATTAATTTCATTATTGGATTCAATACGAGAAGTAAAAATAAAACAGTATGTATATCCTGAATCATACAATGAAAGTATTTTATATCCCTCAGGCGTGGGCTTATTTTTAATTCGTACTGTATGTCCACTTCTTTCTCTAAATCTAGCGATCATTTCATCGATTGAAACTTGCGATTTTGGTATGTAAATGGATTTAGAAACTTCTCAATATGCATAGCTAAAGGTTCGACTTTGAATACCATGGTAACTGTGATGTCTTTGTTCCAATTTTTGAAATATAAAGATAACGTTTTATCTTTTTATTTAAAAAAAAAAAAACTTAAAATAAATTAAATAAAAATTTCAAATTAATTAAAAATAAAAAAAATAAATAATATAACTTGTTTAAATTGAACTAATGTTATATATTTAATAATTTTATGTTGCGGATATTTTTAATCTGTCTTCCAATAGTCTTCTCTACTCGGCAATTTAAAAACACCCATGTAAATTACTAAAGCAAACTATATTAATAATTCTTCTGCTGTTAAAGAAACCCACTTACGCCCTTTAACCGCTGATTTTGCTACAGCATGGTAGTTTGTATTTTTTACGATCATATCTAGCTGTAAATCAGAGAAAAATAAATGAAAAATCGAATATGGTGTAACTTCACCAATGGAAAACTTATCAGATAATTTTATCTGAGAGGAATGATACGGTTTTGTATGTTAAAATTTTTGAAATGATGGCGGTAATGGTAAATTTGAAGAATGCAAGATATGGTTTTTTTTTTTTTTGTTCAGCTACTTTTATTATCTTTCTTTTTTTTTTTTTTGTATTATTTATCATTTCATTTTCAGC